CCGCCACCTCCCACCCCCACCCCTGTCTACAGGCCTTGTCCCTTTGTCAGTTCATGTTACAGGCCACTCATCTTTTCAGTCCAAACTAGAAAACACCCACCCTCAACCTCCAGATTCGGCCCCCATTCCAAGTCCCATCCCTTCCCTAAACCCCAGGCCCCGCCTTTTTACCCAAAATTCGGGATGCAGATCTCCTACCCCTCCAGACTCAAGGCCCCACCTCCTCCAGGCTCCGCCCCCTCCCAGAAACTCGAGGCATCCCTTCACCTTATTGAGCGCTGCCACGCGCTGGGCTAGCTGTGCCTCTATCTCAGGCAAGGTCTCTGCCTTCTGCAATGTCTGCTGCAGCTTCTGCTTGGCGTCGTCCAGCCACTCGGCCAGCTGACGGCTCTTTTCTTCACTCTAGGCGATGACAGGGACAGGGGGGAGGGAAGGAGCTAGGTCACACGAGCCAAGACCTCACCCCCCATCGCCCCTCCACAGCCGTGCCCCCACCTGCCGGTACAGAGACTCCTTGCTGGCCAACTCGTTCTCCAGCTTGTCGTTGGCGTCGTGCAGAGACGTGGCCTCGCGCTGGGCACTCAAGTAGCGCTTTTCCAGCGTCGTAATCCTCTCCTCCATGTCTTCCCGCTGTGCCAGCGCCTGCAGAGGTGGCAAACGGCAGCATGCACTACAGCTTCCAGAAGGCCTAGGCTTAGAACCCCAAATCAGGCACCCCAGGGTATCCTGGGAAGTGAAGTCCCCTGCCATACAGGCGTCAGAATGGTGGAACCACACCTGCCAAGAGCTCCCAAGAATAGCCAACATTAGGTTCCCTGCCACCTGAGAGTTAAAATGGTGGTACCACACCTCTCATGAGCTTCTAGGTCAGTACTGGCTTAGATTCTCCCCATATGGATGACCTAAGGCTTGTGGGATGGGAAGTCTCCACTCTTCTTGAACCACTTGTCTCAAAAATCCAGGCCTTAGATTTTTCAGCAACTTCTGGCAGAGGCTTAGAATCACAGAGCAAGTGTCCTAGGGTCTCATGGGAAACAAAGGTCCCTTCCATCTGGAAGGCAACATCTCCCAAGATCCCCCAGGGTAGCACAGGCTTAGAACCCCAGAGAAGGTGCTGCAGGGTCTCATGGGAGATGGACTCCCGTCTGGGAGCCCTTGTGATGGTGGAGCACGTTTCCCAACAGGCCCCAGAGCTATCCAGGTATAAAATGTGAGGTGAAGGCCCTAGTGCTCACTGAATGTTGAAAACTAAAGTACTCACTCTTTTTTCTCATCCAGGGCCTTTGAGAATCCATGCCCTACATTTCCCAGCAGCCCCTGGGACACAGGAGTTAGGATCAAGGGGCCTAAACCAGGATGGGTTGAAATGCAGACAAAGGAATTCAATTTAGAGGCACAAGAGAATTTCCCAATGATAACATAAGTAGGACCAGTTACTGACTGCCTACCATGTATGTGCCACATGCCAACACTCTGACAAAGATCACAAGTCCCATTTTACAGGTGAGGAAACAGGCTCAGAGAGGAGAAGCATCTACACAGTTTGTGGACTAATTCGAGGTTCCACCATTCATGAGCTCTGTGACTTTGGCCAAAGGGGCAGGGGAGGATTGGGGCGGGGGCGTACAGACAGCAGCCCACCAGGGACTCTGGCCTCACCTCCTTGAGGTCGCGCTGTAGCTTGGTGTTAGCTTCCTCCGCCTTACCCAGCTCACGGTGGGCGGTGCCCAGCTCCTCCTCCAGCTGGCTCATCTGACGGCACAACACCGCCAGGCGCTCCCGCAGCTGGCACACCTCTGCACGCTGCCGCTCCAGGGCCTCCTCCAGCTCCGCAGTGCGCCGGTTAGAATCCCCGCCAGGACCCAGGCCATTAGCAAGGGTCTGGAGAGAAGACAGTAAGGAAGGGACAGAACCCAGAATGGGTAAATACAGAGGTAAAGACAGAATGCAAGGAGAAAGTTGATGGGGGTGGGGAGTGAATCACAGATCAGTAAGGTTCATGGAGGTCATAGAAGTTAGCTAGGTGACCTGAATCGAAGGTCAAAGGCCAGTAAGGTCTTAGGAGTTTGGATGCCCTAGGGTCAGTGAGGATCATATCAAACATTAAAAGGATCATCACAAAGTTAGAGGGCTGAGTAGAGGTCACAGGAATGGGGATCAATAAAGAGCAAGGGGAAAGAAGGACTTTCACCTCGTACCTGTCCGTCCCCATCCTTGCCGGGCTCCTCCAGCCCTGACCGGCGCCTAGACAGCTGATCTCGAAGGCTCAGAGTCTGGGAATGGAAAAAGGATATCAGGACAAAAAGAAAATTAGTTCTATTTCCCATTGCCACCAGCTCTCGAAAGAGAGGTCATAGGTACCTCCAGTCCTGCTGGGGCTACCCCCACCCCACAGTCTACCCTTAGACCCTGTGCTCTCATTATATCTCGCCTTAGCTGCCTAACAGGGAGGGTGTCCAGCCTTACTCTTGCACTTAGCATCCTGATGAAGGTGTCCTCTTTTACCCTGACTTTTCCCTTCCAACCATTTCCTTCCGAGTGGGTTCTTTCCATTAGCCCCAGCCCAGACTCACTTTCAGTGGGCAGTTCTCCTCTTAGCCCTGCCCAGTGAGTTCCTCCTTAAGAACCCCACTGGTTCTCTCCATAGTCCAACTCTATTGGCCCTTTGCTCTAGTTCTGTCTCCAACAGATTCTGGAACCCCAAATCAGCTCCACCCCATTGGGAACTCTTTAGACCCTCCTTCCCTTTTTTGGCCATGTCCCACCTCCTGATTGCTCAGCTCCAACTCCTCCTCTAGCACTGCCACCCGCTCCAGTGCCATCCGCAGCCGCTCCCGGACCTGGGAATGGGTCAGGGCAGGAGTGAGATGGAGATCAGATCCAATCTAGGACAGCTGACAATGATGTAGAACACTCTTGGAACATGCCTGATAGTGCAACGTTAGAATTCCTCTATCCATAATAGATGTGCAGCCCCAACCCGCTACCAAACCCGCCCCACCCACTGGTAGTCCCAACCTATTTCATTTTTCCATTATCAACCAGTAAAGTCCCAGTCTGCATAGCCTCTCCCAGTCAATCACAGTCAACATTCTTTCCACTTAGGACATCCCCAACCAATCATAACCAGAATCTCTCCAATTCAGGACAGCCCTAGACACCCACAGGTTTCCATTCTTCACCTAGCCTCTTCCATTCTTATACCTTCTCATCCAGGGCCTTGTGGTGCTCGAAGAGGGACTTTAGAGCCTTGAGCACCTCCACCTCGGAAGAGACCCCTCCTGGGGACTGGGCCTGGCGTTTCACCACAGTCATGCGTAGTGACCTCTCATGCCTGGACACCAGACACTCCAGGTGTTCCAAGAGAAGCTACAGAGATAGGGCGCAGGGCCAAAGGAAAGAGGCAAGGGAAGAGAGGCAGGGTAGAAGAAAAAGGTGGTTCAGACAGGTGGGGCGGACACATGGAAAAAGAGGTGGAGCCAAGCAAAGGGGTAAGGAGCGAAACATGTCAGGAAAGCAGAGGGATATCAGAGGTACGGGCGGGGTCAAGGAAGGAGTGGTACAGGAAAAGAGACCGTTATGGAGATAGGGAAGAGGACATGAAGGAAGGAGACCAGAGGAGATCAGCCAAGAAGTGGGGGCAAGAAGACAAGGTGAGATGCGGCAAAAAAAATGGATCAGGCTGCCCACCCCACTTAGGCCCTGACCCCAGCACCCCTCACCCGCGTGTTGTTCCTCTCCGCTTTCAGCTCTGCAATCTCTTCCTCCCGTTCCAGCAGCTGTTCCCGACATAAGTTCAGCTCCTTCGTCAGAGCCGCAAACTCCTGTCCAGATGTGAGCAGGATAGGGACAATCAAATCAATCCTTTCCCCATCTCCCTTACTGCACAGGACTGGGAGTTTGAAGACCCCGCCCTTTCTGCTAAACCCCGCCCCTTCTAGCAGCTCAGGCCCCGCCCGTCACAAGCAAGGCCAGCCTCCCCGACTCCGCCCTTCCAAGCGCGAAGTCCCGCCCCCTCCGAACTGCCCTCTCCACGCCTTCAGTGGCCGAGACCCCGCCTGCCGCAGGCCCCGCCCCGGCCCCGCCCAGACCTGGGGCAGCGCGATGCTGAGCTGGCGCTGCAGCGAGTCCTTCTCGTGGCCCAGCTCGCGCAGCCGCAGCTGCGCCGTAGCCAGCCCATCCTGCGCCTCGCGCAGCGTCTCCAGCAGGCGCTCGCGCTCGGTGAGCATCGTGACCATGAGGCGCTCCAGCTCGCCGCCCGCCTCGTCCGGGCCCAGCGCGGAGCCCCGCCGGCCATCCTCGCTGATGGTGGGCATCACCTCGCACATCATGGCGGCGGTGCTGGCCTGCAGGTGCGGGGAAGGGGCAGGGAACAGAGACCGGCCTTGTCAAGGCACAGGCAGAGAAAATGAAGCACGGCCACCCTGATACTACATAGAGGAAACTGAGGCAGGTCCACCCAGGCGTTGCACAGAAGAAACTAAGGCCTGTCTGTTCTGATGATAGCACAGGATAAACTGAAACCCTTTGCTCTCAGGAAACTAGGCCTGGCTACCTGCACGAGAGCATTTGGGGAAACCGAGGTCAGGCTACATCAGGCACTGGCAGCAAACCTACGCCCAGCCTAGTCCAAGAAACCGAAGCCGGGTGATCCAGGCATTGCCTGAGTGAATGTGAAAAAATTAGTCTCTATCTATTCTGGCCCTGCTGAGAATCCCCCTCAACTTACTGCATGAGTGAGAAAACAGCCCCAGTGGAGAACCATGACTACAGGAGGACACAGGACTGGGGTTACAAATTAGCTCACTGGTACGTGGTTACCTGCTCTCCAACCCAACTCCTCCCTCCTTCCATTTCTCATCTGGACCTCAGTTCCAGAAGAACCTAAAGACCCACTCTACTTGGGGGTGGGGGGAAGCATGGTGGGGGCAGGGCATGTTAGCTATCTCCTATGACCCAGATGTCCAGGATCCAGCCCCCTCCTTCCTAATCCCAGGAGTCAGAGACCACATTCCCTCCTCTCCCAGGGACATGAGTCTGGGCTTTCAACCTCCAACCATAGACCTAGAAATCACAGGCTTCAGACCCCTCCTGCCCCAGAACCCAGAAGTCCAGGACCCAGGAGTCTGGGTGCACAAGCTGTGGGCAGAGATGAAGTGAGGTGTCCTGAGCCGCTCCCTCACACACATCAAGTCAGACGGGTCCAGCTGGCCCAGCCGAAAGCAGGAGGGACTTTCACTCTGTTCCCTCCTTTCCTTCTCTCCCTTCTGGCAGCAGCATAACCGGTTCTGAGAGTAGATAATTCCCAGCCCCACCCAATGTGTGGACTGTGTCCAAAGCCTAGGACTGGGGCCTTGGACTCATGTGAGGAGATGAGGGGATTGAGGGCCTTGGGACCTGGGAGAGGAGGCAGCTGGGTCCCTTGGGTCTTTGAACAGGTGCATTTGGGAATCTAGACACCTGAAACCCAACACTCAGAGGCCAGATTCAGGAAAATGTTTATAAGAGGGCAGGCCAGCCTTAGGTCCCAAACCAACATTGTATCTAAAACCCAGAACCTACTCAGGAGATGCAACACAGGATCTTTAGGGAGGCTGCTCTAGAACTTCAAATTCACTGAAAAGGAAACAAAACACAGCAACGCAGGGCAAAAATCTTGAAAGTTACTGGCATGTAGACACAGTACAGAGTGGAAAAAGGGCATATGCTTCCACATTTACAATGTGCTTGGGGTAAGAGCTGCACATAGGGCATATTCTAGAACCTAGCTCTGGAACACTGAACCAGCCAAGAACTTAATCAATAACTTAAAGAACATCTGGGTGACCCTAGAATTATATTTAAGAACATACCTTTTGAAATGCTCAATGAACCTAGTCAGGAGACATAATCTAGAACTCAGAACTTACTGCAGATGAAAATATAACACAGAATATAGCAGAGGTTGCTTCTCAGTTTAATCATGTGTCTAGATAATGTTAGAACGCAGAATGCAGAAGATGTGCTCTAGAATTCAAAACATGCCTTGGAGGCAAAGAAAAACCTAGAAAGTATCAAGGAGTTTGCCTGGAACTTAGACATGCCTGGGGGAAGATGCAGAAGGATGCTTGCTGGGAATTGAAAATATACTGTTATAAGGACTGAGCTGGCAAAGGTGAAGTGGGGTGTTCTGGAAATTAGGACATTTCTAGGCTGAAGACTCCAGAAGAGCAGAGAACCTAGAGCATGCTTAGAATGCTGAAATGGCAGATGGAGGGGACCACAGTCCACCAGGGGACAAGTTCTAAACTAACATCACACTAAGGAAAAGATGGGCAGAGAAAGTGGGAATGGATGGGCCTAGGATCTAGAACCTGAGGAAGGAAGATGTAAGGTAGAACACTTCAGTGGGAATCCTCTAGATTTAAGACTGTAGAACTGAATGGCACCTAAAGCAGGAAAGTGTAGTCTAAAATTGATAGCACAATTTGAAGAAAGACTATAGCACATAATTGGAAGACACACATTCTAGAACTTAGAATGCCCCTGGGAAGAGAATGGAATCTAGAACAATGCCAAGGATGTGGCTGGAACCTAGAACACACCTAAAATGAAAATTTAGCAGAGAATAAGCAAGGACTGGTTTCTATAACTTTAGAACATATCTAAGTAGATGGTAGGATCAGAATTTAGCTGGGGGGGGGGATTATCTAGATATTTTAATTCATTTGGGGAAAGACATGCCTAGAATTTACCATCTACCCTAGAACTTAAAACATGACTTGGGTGAAGACAGGACAGAGATGATGACGGAGAGTGTTTCAGGATCTTGAAAGAATCTAGAATGTGAACACTGCAAGGGCAATGTTTAACTGGAAATGTGTTGAGGAAGGCATGTATGTTTGGCTCAGCCTGAGAGAGTGTACTCAGGGGATGGGACATCACGATATGGGCCTCAGAAGGCAATGAGGTGCTGGAAAGATCTCAAGAAGCTGGGTCTGAAGGGAGAGAATAGAGTCCCAGGGAGCCCAAGCAACTGAGATGAAATAGGGATGAAGCAGGGGTTTGTCAAGGCCACCGGAGATGTCAAGTTGATAGAGGATTGTGAGGCCATGGGGACCTGGGCTCCTAAGATTAAGAGCTGAGGAACTAGATACCTGGGTGGGGGCAGGACAGAACTGGGGGCCTGGACTCCTGAATCCTTGTGGAGGTAAAGGATGGGGTTGGGAAGGAGAGCTGGGGCAGATGGCCTCGGTAAAGGATGATGGCCAGTACAGAAGAAGCTGGGATCTGAACACTGGGTTTCTGAGGGGATGCAGGACTGGGGACAAGGTATTTAGGTCTCCAGGGGGAAGGGCGGGCAGATGCCAAGGAATTGCATTAAGAATTGCATCCTGAGTCCCTGAAAGGGAGAGAGTCATGGCGCCTGAATCCCTAAGGGAGCAGATGCTGGGGTCCTAGGAAACTGGGTATATTTGTCTGAGAAGCACAGGGGCTGTTGAACTGGGTCTCTAAAGGGGGCAAAGGCTGGTAACCTGGATCCCCTGATGCCAAGGTCCCTAAGGTGCATGGGGCAGGAACATTCAGAAGCCCTGACTCCTCAGGAAGGTGCTGGGGTCCCGGAAACCTGGGGTGCTGAAGATGAGGCTGGAAGTCTGGCCAGTGGGACCCAGAGGCCCAGGCACTTGGGTCGGGGAGGGCCCGGGTATCCCCGGGTCAAAGGCGCTGCGGGGGGGATCCCCGCGCCGCCGGCGCCCCCTCTCCGGTGGTGGCAGCAGGAGGTGGGGGAAGCGAGGCTGCCGAGTGCGCTGACCATGGACAGCTCCAGAGCCGGCCTGTGTCCAGGGCGGCCGCGGAGCCGGCCTGGACTGAGGGACGAGGCCGGCTGCTCAAGCCAGAGGGCTGGAGATGGGCAGACGGGGTGCGCGAATGGGGGACTATGCGGACGCGACGGGGGACAGCCAGCCCTCGCCGAGGGAGTGTGACACAGCCGCGGCGGGTGTCTGGAGCTCTCGGGACTGGGCTGAGGAGGAGGATCTAGGTCCAGAGGGGTTCCCAGGGTTGAACTGAAATCCAGGCTCCTGGGCCCTGGAAGAGGCGCAAGGCGGCAGTACGCCTGGGATTCTAGGGTTTGGCTGGGGACTCTGAGAGCCTGGAGGGGCACGCCTGACTCTCTGGGGTAGGGCTGTGAAATCTGGGCTCTGGGGTCCCCCGGGATGAAGAAGGGAACCTAGGATCTCGGGGATTTGGGAAAAACTCGGCGAGGGGTCCCCAGGGTGGGCGCTGCCAGGCAGGCCGGGCCGGGCTCTTACCTGCCTGGTCCGCGGCGGCTGCGGGCGGAGCTGGGCTGCAGGAGGGACGTGGGGTGGGGTGGGGGGACCGGGCGGGGCCCCTGGCGGCGGCCCGGGCCCGGATCTGTAGCTCCGGAGCCCTGTCTCCGCCGCTCGCGCGGGCTCCGCGTCTCTTGCTCCGGCTTGGGCGCTGGGGACCCCCTCCCCTTCACGGTCTCACAGCCCTCTACCCCCTAAAATAGCCCCCTATCCCTGTCACTGTTCAGCCTCCCCCCACGAGGCCGCAGCCGATAGATCCAGGGGTGCCCACCAGCGCCCCCAAATCCCACCTTCCCCCCAAAAAAAAATTTCCTCCTCCCTCCCCCCCAACAGCTCCCGGGCGGTCGTGGCCCCTTTAAAAGGAGACTGACAGACGGCGCTGAGTGGCCAATGGGAGGCAGCGTCGGTGCCGGCCGGCGGTTAAACCCCGCCTCCGCACGGGCCGGGAGGGGTCGCGCGGGCGGAGAGCGGGAGGCGGGGCTTAAGACGTGTCGGCCAATAGGTGGGCAGCGTGAGGCGGCTGGGACGGGAGGCGGAGCCCGGCAGGGGGATGATGTCACCTGGAGCTAGGGGCGCGCGGCATGGAACGCGAGTCGCGACCCCGGATCCTGGCGGGGGCGCGCGCCGGCCTTCGAGCCGCCGGAGATAGGAGGGCTGGGCAGGCGGCGAGGTGGGAGTAAACGTTGTATTTTAAGGTGGGGGCGACGCCCGGAGGCGCGCGCTTGGGTTGGAAGGTGAGGTGAATGCCGGGTCGGCGAGTGCACCTTATTCTGCACACCCTGCGCCAGCCTCGAGAACTGCACGCGGCACCCCACCCCCGCCTCCCACATAGACGATAGTACGGTCTGCAAGGCTCCCCCGGCGGACAAAGCTAATGGTTCGCTCCGCCCCGCCCACACAGAAGAGGCCAGCTGGCTCCTGCAGCGTTTCAGGACTCTTCAGTGGGACCAACTACAGAAGATGTTTGGCCTCTACCCTCAGACTCTCTTAAGGGTAGGAGGCGTTGTCTTCAGTTCTGACCTCGCACTCAGACCCAGACTAGGTCAGAGCCTTCGCCCTTGGACTTGTCCCTAGGAAGCCACCAGCCTCCGCCTTCAGTTCTGGGGAAAAGTCTCTACCTCTGCTCTCAGACTCTGAAAGGGCTTCTTCAGGGCCTGGTCTCAATATCAGTTTCTCTCCCCCCCCTCCCCCACATCTCAAGACCTTCTAACCCCAGGATGCAGGACAGACACACAGACACTCAATGAGGGTCAAAGATCTTTAAATAAGGAGCTGGTGACAATAAATACTGTACAGGGGAGGGGGTGACGGGAGGGTCCAGATCTGTGGTTTCAGCCTCGAGACTCCAAGGACCTGCAAGGAGGGTGAAGAGAGGGGAGCCAGGCTCAGGGGAGGGGACCTGAGGAGGCATGGAAGAGAGCCAGGACTGGGATTCCAGAGCCAAGGGCCTGGGGAAATGGGTTAAGGGTTCCAGAAAGAGTAGGTTCCAGATCTTAGAATGGCAGTCAGCTGAGTCACCACCAGGAGTTTTAGCCAGACCAACATGGGGTGAGAGCTGGGGTCAGGGGTCAGGGGTCAAGGGTCAATCCCAAGTAGAGGAGCCATGGCTAGGGGTGGCAATCAAGATTCCTGGAGTCATTGGCCTGTTTGGGAGTCTGGGGATAAGGGAGGCAGTGGAGGCCCCAGGGGAATGGTGGCAAAGGGCTCACGAGTAGCTCTGGTGCTGCTGACGCCGGCGGGCTGAGCGCATCTTCTCAAAGCGGGCCTCCATCTCCTCCAGCACACGTGGTGTGTAACGCACCACCAGCTTCACGGAGCCTTGGGCCGCCTTCAGCAGCTCCACTGCCTTCTCGTGCTGCTCACCCTCAACGCTCTGTGGGGCAGTACACAGACAGCTGGGCCTGGGGCCCACTGCCCTCACCTAGCACCCACCCCAGAAATGGGACAAACCGTTGGAGACCTGGTACCAGGCCTAAGGAGCCAAAACCTTATGTCCTCATGGAAGAGTCACTAACTCTTAACTGAGTGTCCTCCCCACAAAACTTTCAGGTTGCCCATGTCAGGGACAAGTCCCATATGCCCTCGTCACTGAGTCAGACATCCAGGCCCATCTTTATCCCCTTCCTCCCCACAGTCCACTAATCCCCAGCCCCATCCCTCCTGCCCTGACTCCCTCTTCTTTGTCCCTATTACCCTGGCCCCAGCTCAGGCCTCATCCTCTCCCCAGTGGATTCTCACTATAGCTTCCTGCCTGGCCTCCTGGTTTCCCATCTCTCCCCTCAATCCATTCCCCTTCCCCCAGAGTCCCAAAGGGATCTTTCTACACCTCCAAGCTAAGCGTATCACTGAACCCTCCCATGATTCCCCAGAACCCTTGAGACAAAGTCTCAGCTTCTCAGGCTGGCACTCAGGCCCTGCAAGGCTAGCCCCAGCCACCTATCACGTTGTGCCTCCATCTACTCTAACCAGTGATTTTAATTAACTGCATGCTCCAGTCCTCCATTAGAACAGAGCCCTTTTTCTTCATCTCAGAGGTGTCACAGACCTTACCTACAACACCCTCAGCCAAATAACACCTTTCTCCACCCTATATGCCTGCAGAACTCCTACTCATCCTTCAAAACCCAACTAAAATGTTCTTTCCTCTGTAAAAACTTCCTTCATCTACCCTGGTCTAGTGCCGTATCAGGCTCTCACAATGCTTTGTGCTTCCTCATTATTATCTCTCTGAATTAGGAATATTTCACTCAGGGTTTATCTCCCTCATCAGAGAAGGGGTTCTTGAAGGTAAGAGCTGAGGCCAATTTTTCTCAGAGTCTGCAGCAGTGCCCAGCACAGGGTTGAATAAAGAAGCAGTGCTCAGTGTGTGTTGAATAAATGTCAAAAACAGGGACAAACTGTGACCCCAGCCCTGCCTTAGCCTCTCAACTCACCACACCATTCACTGACAGCAGCTGGTCCCCACGCTTGAGGCCTCCGTGGCGGTCAGCCACACCCCCAGGAATGACACGGGAGATGTAGATGGGCGAGTTCTGCTCCTTGCCCCCCATGATGTTGAAGCCCAGTCCCTCGTCTGTCTTGGGCAGCTCCACTACCCTGGGATGTGCATGACCCTCACTGGCTGTGAAGGCAGCAACTGTAGCCTGGGAGAGACAAAGCGTCAGGAGGTGAGGGGCCCTCCATGGTGGGCATGTGCACTGGGGTGGAGGATATAGGCCAGGGAGAGAGCGACTGAGGCCAGATCATGATGGTAGGGCAATTATGATTAGGTGATGGCTGGAAGAATACTCCAGATTGTCTCTACTTCTTTGCCCAAGAGTGACATGCCTGCCACAGTTCAACACAAGTTCACTCCATAATGACCGTATGTCCCTTTGGTTCACTTTGGATGGTTCAGACATGTCAAAGAGAAAGTCTCCATTTGGTGTGAGTGTGTCTTGAATACTCAACACTTGCCAATATTACTTTTTAACAGAGAAAAACAAGGCCTGGAAGGATCTGAGAGCCTCCAGGAAGCAGCAAGAAATAGCATCTAAATATAGTTTAATCAGATTTCAGTGTCTATTGCTATTTCATTGTTTTCATTGTATAGGTGTTTAAGGTTATCCTCTAATCAGGCATGTGGTACTAGTTTCAATTTATAGTTGCTAAAGATACCTTTCTTTATATGATATTTAAGTTAAAATGTGAGATTACTTAAAATAAATTCTAAATAAGTAATAGTAAGGGTGGTACAAAGATTTGGCAAAAATCATGAAGGAGGAACCAAGAATGACATTAGGAAGACCCTGAGCTAGACCACGCAGTTCCCTGGATACCAAAAGAGACAGGTTGAGGGACGCTTACCTTGGCTGTGGCATGGGCCCGGATCTCAGCGCTGCCGGTGATATCCAGCGTGTCATAGAGCTGCTCATACACCTGGTGAGGAGGACGCAGTAGCATCAGGGAGCCGCCAGTCCCCTCCTTCCTTCCACACAGGAGTACAGGCGCGCAGACCCTCCCATCCAAGGATGCGTCCTGCCCGGGCAACTCGGGGCTCAAGGAAACTACAACTCCCAAAGAACCCCAGAGCTGACACTAGGGCATCCCAAGGCGGGCCGCCCCGGACACTGCTGGGAGGCGTAGTCCACGGGCTCGGGGTGACTAAGAGGAAGACGGAGGCTGCTGCTAGCTCGTGCTCCGACGCCGCGCTGCGCTCACCTCCCGGATGGCAGAGCAGAAGCGGCTCTGCAGGACGCGCTGGAGGGCCTGCAGCTTCTGCGGGGGCAGCTCCCCGCTGCGCTGGAGCCGCTCGAGGAGCTCCACCGCCCGGGACACGTCTGCGGAGCGGGGGCGGGAGCGTAGACAGAGTCAGAGACACCAAGACGCAGAGAATCACCAAGAGATGCGGCCAGAGACCGAGTAAGGGCGAGTAAGGGCGAACGCAAACCTCCAGAAGGACAGCCGAGTCCCGGTCGAACATCCGCAGTTGCCAGTGGCAAGGGAGAAAATGCGGCCGGCCAGGCGCCCTGCATCCCGGGGATCCCCATAGACACCCAGGCAAGGGGTGTGCAGCGGGTGCCCCCTCCCCGGCCGGTTCGCCTACGGAACCTCCCACACCCAGACAGCCCAACTAGCTGCGCCACGCCCCGCCCACCCCCGCCGGGTCCGCCCGCCCACCGCCCAGACCTTGCCCGGGTAGGGGCGAGGATCGGGGTCAGAGACGCAGGCCGCGACCGACCGGGTGGGCAGGGCCCCCTGGCGCGCTTACCCCGCTCCAGCCCCAGCGGCTCCACCAGCGCAGCCATGTCGGCGCCACCGCTGCGAGCCGCCCGCCCGCCCGCCAGGTCGCTGGCAAGGAGGGCGGGGCTGCGCGAGGCCACGCCCCAGGCGACGGACGCCCCCTGCGGAGGCGCGGCCCAGCATGAGCTCGCCTCCTGGCGCTGCGGCCGCTGCATATGATGCGGCTTCTGTCTGGCTGCTCTACCCTCCTCCCCCATCGGTCTGTCCTGTTTGCGACCCCTCCTATTGCGACCTCAGTCTGCTGCACCTCCTTCCATCTCTGTCTGTCCTACCCGCCACACCCGTCTGTCCCCTCGCTATCCCTTTTTTTCTAAGTTTTTTGGACAAACGTATGTTAAATATCTGGGACCAAGACGATGTACATGATGGTGAGCAGGAGAGACAAGCCCACTGCCCTCACGGAGCTTAGGCTATGGTGCAGGGGAAGTAGACGACCAACTACGACTGTGACCAGAATTGGGAGTGGGGAGGTGATGATCTAAGAGGGACATTGACATAGAATCCTTGGAGGTAAGATCGTGGGGCGTGGGTCACTTTCCAGGCAGAAAGAACCCACATGGCTGGACAGCAGAGAAGGATTGGAGTGGTTTATGATGGTGAAAAGGTGGGCAGGATACAATTTATGCATAGACTTGTGAGTTGGCACATGTTGAGGATTTTGGACTTCATGGTAATTCCAAAGAGTAAAATGTGATATTCAAATGTGTATCTGAAGGTCACTGTGGCCACCGTGTGGCAACTGAATTGAGTAAGAACAAAAGTGGAGGCGGGGGACCGGTCAGGAGGCTATCTGAGTGTACCGCGATGGCTGGGACCAGGGCAGAGGCATGGAGGATAGGTGAACATATTTGGAAATGTATGGACATCTGATCAACTGTAGATGAGGACTGGGAGGAGGAGAAGGGGGTACTAAAGGTGCGTGTGGGCCTTTTGCTAAGATGGTCTATGCTGGAGAACCGGTAGTGGACATTCCAGATTTGGGGAGCCTGTAAAGTATGTAAGACCTGCAAGCAGTTTTGAGAACTTGGAAAAAGGCAGTGAATAAAACCATAGGAGTGGACAAAAATGCCAGGGACAAGAGACTGTATAGAATGAAGAGGACCTAAGGCTGAGTCCTCAAAACTCTTAACATGTGAAAACCAGGAAGAGGACAAAGAATGGCCAGAAAAGGGAGGAGGAAATCAGGTGAGAATGAGAAAAGAGCGTTTTTAAAAAGAAAGTGGGGGCCGGCCCAGTGGCTCGGTTGGTTAAGAGCGCAAGCTCTGAGCAACAGGATTACCTGTTCAATTCCCAAATGGGCCAGTGAGCTTCGACCGAGTTGAGTTGCCTCTGAGCTGGTGAGAGTGCGCGCTCTTAGCAGCAAGATTGCCAGTTCGACACCCATATGGGATGGTGGACTACATTCCTCCACGAGATTGAAAGCGGCAACTGGACTTGGAGCTGAGCTTGCGCCCTCCACAACTAAGATTGAAGGACAACTCGACTTGGAGCTGATGGATCCTGGAAAAACAAAATGTTCCTTCTCCCCAATTCAATAAAAATCTTTTTAAAAAATAAAAAGAAAGTGGGCTGTGGTATCTGATGCTCTAGAGGCCAAACAAATGTAGGAAATGTAGACAAGACTATCAAGTCTGGCTGTTGCCCCACCCTTGACTGGATGGGGGTATGGAGTCCAGAAAAGAGCTTCTGCAGTCAGATGAAATTGGCAAGTTTGTCTACCCTCCCTCTTTCATAGTATTTCTTTTCCTTGTTTTAATAAAAAATAACCTATTTACAGCGTTAAAAACAAAGTCAAATAATACAGAAGAGCTAATATTGAAAAGCACCAACTTGTCCTAACTCGCCCCACTGCAAGTGGCAACTTAATAGATGTTTAATCTGATAGTTGCTTCTTTTTCTAAGTAACATGCTATTTGTCAATTTATCAATTTTAGTTGTAATGTATATTGATTTTCTGCTTTTACCTTTCCTCTACCCCCCCCCCCAGCCGTTTTATGGTACCAGTTTTTAGATCAATGAAATGCTCTCATTATGTCTAAGTACTTATTTTACTGTAGGGCCCACGTAGTGTTCTGTGACATTTCCTTTCTTGAAGTTTTTTTTCCCTGTGATTTCTATCTACTTTTGTTTCTTTCATCACATTCTCAGTTCTTTTCCGATTGTCCATCACAACAGATATCATACTGATCTTTTTATCCTGAAACTCCTTGGAAACTTCAGTCCTTTGACCCCAATCTGGATCACGTACTCTCTAGAAACTGCCATCCTGGGACTTTCTCCACTGCTTTGCTGAACTGAGTCTATTTTTCTTTTAAATTCCTTATTTTGGTGAAGTATATTCTCAGTTAATTTCCTAAGATTATGAGATTTCTTACTTTCAAATTCATCTAATTCTTTTATTTCCCTCACACTTCTAGTGTTAACAAGAATGTTTCAGGTTATCTAGCATCTAATCAACGACCAAATGCACCTACTAAATTCTTAATTTGTTGTTCTCCAGTTCTAAAATTTCCATTTGACTTCTTTAAAATTCCAGATCTGTGAAAATTCTCTATCTTTCCTTATTTTGTGAACATAGTTATTTCAATCTCTGCTAATTCCAACATCAGAATCATGCCTGGGTCTGTTTCTATTGTCTATTTTTTTCTCTTGGTTTTCAGTAATTTAAGTCTTTCAAACATACCTGATAATTTGAGTAGATGCTGAGCATTGTGTACTAAAAATACAAGAGGCTCAGAATGATTATCTTCCAAAGGTGGTTTTCTTCTGGCGGGATCACCTAAATCCTGACAAAACCTGGTCTATTTCATTTGGGGCCTTACTCCAATATTGTGGCACTCTGGGGATGTCAAGCATGGCCATTCCACCTTGGCAGGGCTTGAACCCCAAACTGTCTCAAGAACTGCACAGTCTCCGTTGCTTTCTGATGAGCACCTTGGGATTTGCAATAACAATGAGCTTATGAGTTGGCAAATGCCTTGATGGAAGAGTGTATGTAGATTTGGGGGCTCAATGCCCCTCATGGGAACTTCAACCCCAAGTCCAAGCTGTCTGGTCCAGCTGCTGTGAACTTAGCCCTGTGGAAGGCTGCCACTCTGTCTATTCCCCCATGCTAAATTAGCAAATGTTCTCAAAGAAAAAGCCAGGTAAAAATGAAATTCACTTGTGCTTCCCTTTTCTTAGGGATTGGACCCAAGTCTCACCTTCACTAGTTGCCCCCAATGCCTTTCACATGTTGTTTATATACTTTGCCCAAGTCTTTATAATTGGTCTGTGCCAGGCTAGTCCAAAATGGGCTATTCTACACAGCCAATTCCAGAACCTAGTTGCAACATCTGGGTTATCTGTGAAAATATAGAAGTATTTTTAGGGTTGTTTCTTCCAGGATCAGTTTTTCTATTTTTCTTGTGGTCCCATTGGATTTTCTCAAATGCCTGTTGTGTACATAAAGACCTAGGCAGTTAGATCGTAAACTAGGATTCTTACATGTCAGTGAGACTTAATTGACTGCCTCTGGGTTATTAGGCCAAGTTTGCCTTTAGGCTGAGAAACTTCTAACTAAAAGACGACAGTAGATCCTGGCTTGTATGGCCTAGGCAGCCAACGCTCAACTCTGAGGCGAGTGCCGCCAACAAGTTTGTGTTCAAATTCCACCTTGTCTGCTACCCTTGTACTTGGGAGTTGCAGCCTTGAGCCTCTCTAGGGTCCTGCAAGGCTGACTGGCTTCCTTCTCAAGTAGTCACCAGACTGAAATGTTATCACTATATTTAATCTTTTATCTAGACATCTACTGAAATCTCAACTGCTGATGGAATCTCATTTCTTGCCTGTTATTCCTCTACTATCATTAGGAAGTCTGAAGTAAAATGACCAATGGTGAACTTGCTATCGTGAACCGTAGACCCTTTTCCATCCTGGCCCTGTGCAGACTTTCTGTTCTACCCCATCTTCTCATCCTTGTATCTTGTCCTCTTATCACCCTTTTCCCTGCTCTCCAACTCAGACAGCAGCTCCCCTTTCACACATTGCAGCTGCCACTGGGTCATCTAGTTGCTACAGGCCCCCACCCCCAGTGAGAGGTATGAGTAGCCCACAATGAACGTGTGGAAGACATGAGGGGAGGGGGGGAACACAAAGGTATCAAGGACCCTTACAGTGGACTTCCTCACCCCATTTTGAACAGCTCTGGTGTACTGGGGTGTCCTCAGCCTCAGGTCATAAAGCTCACATTCTAGGCATGCCCTGGAACACAAACCAAAGAAGGGTTAAGTCTGGTGACCATCTTCTGGGAAAGACATTAACAGTGAAGAAATCAAGGTACCCATTATCAAGAGGAAATTAATTTTATTTTTATATCCAAGAGGCCAGAACAAATAAGGAGACTCCTACCCTTGGCTGACAAACTTAGGTGGTGGCCAAGAAGGTTGGGGGGAGAGGATGACAGGGGGTGGGTAGAACACGTCCAAACAAAACAGGTGAGGCCCTCTTCACTCTGGCGCAGCCTCCATCAAATACCCATTTTCTGGAGCAAGATACCCGTCGCCTCCCTCAGACTCCATGTACATGTCTCGGCTGTCATTGCCCAGACCCTCTAGCCCGTTGTTCTGGCCGCCACCACCACCCCCACCTCGGGCATCATCCCTGCCCCGTTCACCACCCCGCTCCCCCCGCTTGTGCTCCCGATCCCGATCCCGGTCTCGGTCCCGGCGCCGGTCCCTCTCGCTCCGGTGGCTCCGACGTCGTTCCCGGTCACGATCCCGGCCTTTCTCCTCTGGACCATCAGGGCCGTCTGGGCCCAGCTCCCCAGGAGGCCCATCGTCAGGAGGTGCATCACCAGCCTCAGAGGGCTCTGCCATGTCACCACCACCTCCGCCACCACGCAGCTCCTCCTTGCGCTCCCGCTCCCGACGTGCCCGCTCACGGCTTCGGCTGCTTCGCCGCTTCCGGTCCCGGTCCTTGTCCTTGCTCCGCTCCCTGGAGCGCCGCCGCTCATCCTTGTCGCGACTCCGTGAGCGCCGCCGCCGGTCCCGAGAGCGGGAGCGTCGCCTTTCTCGTTCCTTGTCTCGCTCGCGGCTTCTCTCCCTGCGCTCCCGCTCTCGGTCTCGATCCCGGTCCCTGTGGGGAAGCGGGGAGGGGCCCGGCCTGGATGAGGTGGGCAGAGGTGTAAGGCAGGGCTCCCCCATGTGACCACCCCCCTTCCCAGGACACCTGCTGCCCAATCTTACCTCTCATCATAGCGGGAGGTATCATCCCGGCCCGAATGCCGGATATTCACATCAGCCCCACCTCTCCTGGTACCACCTAGGCCACCTCCTGGAGGTGGGGCAGACAAACAGAGGGTCAGCCTGGGCAGGGACTGAAGTAGGGGAAGCGAGAAGCATAGAAGAGCAAAGAGAAGGACACCATCTCTGTTGGTGTCTATGGGCCAAGTACTGAGGACACTTTGCCAGCAGTCTCTTAACATGACAACTGTGCTTTACAGAGATTAAAGGACTTCCATTAAGTGCCAGTTGGCAAACACCTGTAATTAGGCTCGAGAGATACATGTCCTTAACCACTGTGTACTGCACACAACCTCCTCGCAAATCCTCCCTCCCTTCAAGTAAGCCGCACCCTGACGCCATGGCAATCTAACTGAAAACGTTTTCTGCCTCAAAGGCTTCCGATGGCTTCCCACTGCCCACAGTCCAAACTCATCAGGCGGCTACCAGAGCCTGCAAAAGCTGGCTCCTGCCTATTTTAAAATTTTAAAACCATGCATTTTCAGTCTCCTTATACTCATCTTCTCCCTGCTCCCGTTTTGGGGACCATTCACCTCTTTTCCTGGAACCTCACCTTCTTATCTTGTTGACTCCTATTGACCCTTCTCATGTTAGCTCAAATATCACTTCCTCAGTAAGCCGTCCCTGACCTACCAGATGAAGCCGTTCCGCACTACACACTCATGGACCATACACATTTCCTTCACAGAACTTCACTTGTGATTTCAAATTGTGTTAACACCTCCCTCCCCCGCAGCCAGTAATGCACCATAAGAATCAGGACTATGTCCAGACTCGCTCACTGTGACCACCATGTGGTACAGCATCGAGGACAGAATCGTCAAAATGGCTGAACCACCACCCCAAGGAGCAGTGGATAGTCCCCTTCTTCAGACAGGGAAACAAACTCAGATAAAGCCATTTGGCCATGGTGAGTCAGCAAAGATGGTGCAGAGCTGGGACTGACTCCCAG